GGTGAGATTTGAACCGCTGAACTGCTGATCTAGCAGTAGCCTGCAGTGCTGCATTTAACCACTGCGCCACCTTGACTCACCCATGGCAGAAGCACCAAGAGGAACAGGGTAAGTACAAGAGAGGTTCCTGCACTACTAAAGCCATTTAATGTGCGGAACTGATGAACTCCTCCTTTTGGGAGACTTCAGCTGGTCTCAGCAAACTTGAAACACCAGCTGCAACTGATGCTGCTACAGCCAATAGAAATTGAGACCACCAACCCTAATGGCAAGGGGCTGAAGGAATCTCCCCAAAGGGTGTGGTACTTCAACAAAGAGGACCATGAGCTCATGGAAGATCCTGCCCGTCTCCCTACGAAAGATGACTGGGGAGAGTCAAGGAATGCTTTGGCTTTGAAAGAACACAGGGCAGCCACATATGCTAATCTGCCAGTCTGAGATCACTGGCGCACAAAAAGAATGTGTCCACCTGTTGCCTGTTGTTATCTAAGGACTTCATTGAGGCAACAAAATGTACCAGGCAGAGCACAAAAACATCATCTGCAGAAAAGCGACAGAGAGGTCCACATATGCACAATGAACCCTACAATACAAAGATCACTATCCTAGGAATACTCAATTTAATACAGTTGTGTTTTTGAGGCCCAGCGAAACAGAAGAACTTGCAGGCAACAACGGCTCTGATCACTGCTCCAAGGCCAGTCTGCCCCGATCCATAGTTGCCACTTTTCTCTTGGCTCTGTCCTGCAAAGGTCTCTTGCCAGAGTTAGGTTCCTGAAATGAAGGCCACTGAGCCAAGGGCTTTCATCAGATCCAGTACACAGTCTGGCCCAAATGGGTGTGTCAGCAATGCAAACCAATGGATGGACGTAAAGGCAAAGAACTTAAGTCACGATTGAGCCTTGGGGACGGCTTCCATGCAGTTTGTCACCATCTACTTCTCTGATTGTCAACGGCCCTGGAATTCCCAACCAGACGTGACCCTAAATAACCAGACCTGGTTCAGCTTTGCTTTTGGGATCAACCGAGACGAAGTTCTGACACGAGCAAAAGCAGATCTTGAGTAGTGAATAAGTCTTCTTGCCCAATTGAGTCTAAGCCATATGCACTCTGAAAGCTTTAAAGCAGGGCAGTCAAACTCCCATTCTGTGGGCCAGATGGGTCACGCACTGGCCACACCCAGGCCCGGTTTAGTGAAGGGTAAAGAAGTCCCGATAGATCACATGATGCCGCCATGATGATGTGTTTGACACCCCTGCTTTAAAGTAGGCTTTCCCTCCATTTGATTTTGACTTCATCCACACACATGGAATTTCAGCTAGATCAAATCTCCAAATTCTTTTTGGAGTTTTTTTTTAACATGTTACAGTCTTAAGAGATTGGAAATTTCCTAGCAATCTGCTATCTAAATGTCAACCTTGCTTAATTTCTGAGCCCTGATTAGGTTAGCATGAACTAGAGTCAACTTATTTTTTAACTTTTAATTGGTCAGAAAAGCAGTCCAGGTTGGGGGAGCCTTATCTTGTTAGATTTTAGCTTCAGCTTTGTGTCATGCTAACAGCAATGTTCCCAAGGACAAAAGAAAAACAGCCATATTTCATCAGGAAGTAGAACTCTGAATACACAATTATTACAATGTGCTGCCTTCCTGATGACAGCATGCCAGCTAGAGCCACACTGCTGACTAACCAACCCAACCCAACCCACATTTTGATCAAGTTTCACTCACAGGTTGGTGAAAATTCTGGATGGCCTTGGGATTAAAATATTCGCCAGAAAGAAAAGCAGAACTGTGCTGGTTCTCAAGAACTTTCACCATATCCTTATAAAAGTCCTTCTTAAACTAACATTGGCATCATTTTACACAATTGTATGTAGAAGATGAATTTATATTTGTATTTTGCCACGCGTCTGTACTGATCTGCTATCAGCTAAGAAGGAATAAAGGAATATATTTATCAAGCAATAAATCCTCATTGATTCAATGGGACAATTCTGAAAAATATACGAAAGTGCATACTAGGATGCAAGGCAAGAAATTCTGCTGAGCTATCAAATCCTTGAACAACAGACATAAGTTTGATTCCTATTTATCCACCTTGACACAATACAAATATGTTAAAATCTTCATGGGACAGTAGAAAATTTGCTCCTGTTTAATATTAAACAAGATGCAAAAGATCAGTTTTCTAAGCATGCAGCTCATTTATTAGGCCATTTCCAGGCAATCTTAGTTTAGAGCTGCTTGCTGGTGGATGGTATGTGAACTATGTGGTCTTGGTAAACTTAGCTCAAAGTTGCAAGATCGAATCTTGGTCAGTCACTGGGATGAGTTTTTGAACATACTTCATTCGTTTACTCAAAGTAACCGTAAGGGTTCCCTTTCAATCCCAATTGTGGGCAGGAAGACCAAGTGAGTAAAAGAAAGCTATGCAGCTTCAGAATAGCAGCAGCCATTCTGTAACCCTAAAGTTCTAGCAACCTAGACCTAGGGAGAGAATTCCTAACAGTGAGAACAATTAACCTGCATTTCTTCAATTTTGGGAGAATCCAGACTGAAAGGAAGCCTTCTACCCAGATGTATGAAAGGCTTGCTCTCCAAGTCCTGGCTTGGCATGGAGGTCTCCTATCTTATAGGGAAGGGAGGGAGGAAGAAGATTGGCAACTTTCTTCTGATCAGCCCTGGGAAGCTTCAGGGATAGTATGATCTGCAGACACACACAGGAGGCTCCCCCCCCCCTCGCAGGCTGTTGGGAAAGGGACAGACTACAGCTACCCCCCCGTCCCCCCTCGGTGGTCCCCAAAGCCTGCCTGCTTCCCCCCTCCCCGGCCTTCTCACTCCCCAGAAGGGCCGAGAGGAGGCCTAGCCTTCCTTCGGCTCCCTCTCCTTGCATCGCCCCCCACCCAGGCAGACTTCGGCTCTTCCCCCACAGCGTCTCTTTCGAAGCGGCCCGGAGGGCTCCTGCACGTGCAACGGACTCGCCCAACGCAGCCCGGGCCGACTTCGGCTGGCCTAGCACATCAGGAGTTCTCCCCGCGGCGCCCTGGGACGAGTCGACGGGCCCCACATGGCTGCCGGCTCGCGTTTCCAAAAGCCGGGCAGCTCCACGCCGGACTTTTGGTTTCCCGATCAGGCGGCGGAGGGTTGGCTAAGCGGGGCCCCGGGGCAGAGGCTGCACGAGCCGGCCCTTCGCTCGCCCTCCCGGGGCCTCCGAGGGGATCCGCGGCGGCTTCCCTTCTCAGCCTCCAGGGCTGTCCAGCCCCGCAGAGGGAGAGAAGTGGAGACCGCGCCGCCAAGCCGGCCCAAGGACCGCGGAGAGGAGCTGCCCCGAACCTCCGGGCTTCTTCGCCGCTTCCAGGAGCGGTCTCTCCGCGGCCCCTCCCGCAGAACCGCCGCCCGGCAGCCTCGGCTCCTTTTCCGGGAGAGCGCTGAGCGCCTTCGACCCAGGGAAGAGTCCGGTGCGACGGAAGCGCCCGCCCCCCTCAGGCCTCCGCGGGGGGGGGGGAGGAAAACTGCCGAGGACGAGCCCCCTGCCCCGCCGGGCCCCCTGGCCGCGCCCCTCACCCATCACCGCCGCCTCCGGGCCCGGCCCCGCCGGCCCCGCTCGCCAGGCCGCCTCCCGTTCGGGCGCCCGCCTCGGCCCCTCACGGCGGACGTGACGCAAGGGGACGTCGCGACGCCGCCCCCGCCCCCGGATTGGCCGGGCGAGCAAGCGAGAGAGCACGTGGACGCCTCCCCCGCCCTCTTGCCGCCGGGGCCGCGGGGGGAGTGAGGCCGCCTTCCCCGCCCTTCGCTTGTCACCGCGGGGCGGGGCGAGCGAGGCGTCCTCCGGCAGTGCCCTGCGGAACTCCCCGTCACAAGCCCTGACGGGAAAAGAGGAAGGAGCGCCTCCTCGGCTCAAGACTGATCCTCGGTCCCAGCGGCGGAAACGGGCACGGCCGTCGCTTCCAGACTGTGGAGCGTTTTCGCCGGAGGGCCCGTCGGTGGCTTCACGGTGTGCAGAGTTTCACCCGCAAATTCCCCCGTTCTTCCTGTCCACCGCAGCCTTCGGTGGAAAGGGCAGCCGCATCCGGACAGCGGATGATTTCTCCACTCCTGCCATCACCCTGGAGTTCTCCGGCTTGGCAGAGCAGCTTGGCCTCCAGACACAGGATATTTACCATATTTTTCAGAGTATAAGACACACCTTTATCCCCAGAAAAGAGGGTGAAAATCTGGTGCATCTTATACTCCGAATGTAGCTTCACCCATCTACTCGTCGCATTTTCGGGTGGTTCCATGCGGCGGGGATCCTCACTTTCACATGGAGCCTCATTCCCAGCAGCCCAGGGAATTGCATTCAAAGCCTTTTCAGCGAAAGCATTTTTGGGTGGCAGCACCATAATTCCCTCCCCATTCCACCAAAGGCCCATGCAGAGGCCAAAAAAGTGCATCGTCTTTGAGGTGGCAGGCGGTTCCAGCACGTGCCACCTGAAAATGCTTTCCTTCCCAGTTCCCTGGTGCACATCGCAGAGCCATGCGCCCTCCTCCCCCTGTACAGTCTCACCTTCTCCTGGCCAGCACCATCAGCCGAGGGAGGCAGGGAAAAAAGCCAGAGGGCAGTGCGGTTGGGCAAGGGTGTAGGACAGTGATGGCGAACCTATGACACGCGTGTCA